TGACGATCGTATAGTTAGACGCCATGGAGTGCCACCAAGGAAGGAGTACTACGTGAAATAGAAGGGATTACCCGATAGAGAGGCTAGTTGGGAACCCGTCGAAGCCTTGTGGTAATTCGCACGGAAGGTCGAAGAGTATAATGAAAATGCACCGAGGACGTCATCGAATTAGGTGAGGGAGAGTGTTACGCTCCGCTTAAAAGAGGGATTTTTCTAGAGATTCTAAAAAACACTAGATAAGTCTAGAAGCTTCTAGAAATGTATGAAACAATAGATAAGCCTCTAGAGAAGTCCGGAAGCTTCTGAAGAGTATGGAGCAAAGGAGAAGCCTCTAGATAAGGTCGGAAGCTTCAGAAGAATATGAAGCATTGGAGAAGTCTCTAAGATGATCTAGAGAATTCTAGAGAGTCCCTCACTAATCTAACATGTGTATATCTAGATAGTTTCTTATAAATATCTAGATAGGATATTTCTAGAGAACCAATTGTAACCATTAGATTAAATAGATCCTAGCCATCCATTGAGGAGGTGGAAGGCTATAAATAGGTGAGGCCCTCACTTGGCCAAGACACTTAGACATTCATAAACTTAAGAGAGTGTGTCTTTAGAGTTGTAAGCTTTTAGAAAGCAATACAAAGAGTATTTATATCTCTTGTGTGTGTCTTTCTTGCTTAGCAACTTTATGTGAGGAAGGCCGACTTGGTTTGTCTTAGAGAAGAAGAGAGCCAAGTGCCGCAAGTGAGCTTGGAAAAGGCCAAGTCCGTGACATTATGCTAACCGTGGTTAGACCCACACTACTTATAAACTCCAACCTCAATCCAAACTATGTATCTTTACTAGGTATTTCATATAACACAATGCATATTTATGTCTTAAATCCCGGATAAAATGCATCTATGTATCTTATCACATTGTGTTTGTTGAACATACCTTTCTTTTTGCATCAATCAACCCTCACCAATTGCCATCCATATCTCCTACTATCAATTAGTGGCTTATATCTCCATTTGTGTCTTCATCACCTTTGAATGTTAAGTCCTCTACTATTCCACATGACACATACCTTTTTATCCAAATATTACTTATATCTTCCCAAAGCATGCCATCTACCCTTCATCGTCATACCACAAATGTCAACCTTTCATGGGCACTCTCCTATACCATCATCTACGACTCAATATAAAGATTCCATCGATTCCTTTTATTGACACAACAATGGTCCCGTGCACTCATATCCCTAAGTAATTAGTACTCCCGATCCTAAATTATTCTCGTTCTAAAAATAATATGCACAAACCTAAGTCCATTTTTTATTTATACACTACCATCAAGTCTCCTATTAACACCAAACCCACCACTATTCGACAAGACTAAACATCACTTAAATGGTGCCAAGCCATTAGTGTCAAATATAATGCTCTTATTTGCAATGACACTCGATCTTTAGCTCTCCCTCATCCCTCTCAAAACATTATGGGTTACAAGTGGATATTTTGCATTAAACACAACCTCAACGACACAATTGCTTAATACAAAGCCTATCTTGTGGCTAAAGGATTCTATCAAAGGCTTGGAATTGATTTTTTAAAGACATTTAGTCTTATTGTAAAACCGAGTTAATGTTTATCTCCTCTTAACTCTTTCAGATCACTTGCACCAACTAGATGCTCATAATGCTTTCTTATAGGGGACTCTCACGGACGATGTCTATATAGAAGCAACCATCAAGATTCCTTGATACTTAATTTCCCCAACATATATGTAAAATAAAGAAAGTCATCTATAAGCTTCATCAAGCTCCACGGACATGGTATCATGAATTCTATATATTTCTCCTTCACACCGAGTTCACCAAATTCTCTTTATGATGCTTCATTGTTCATTCAACATACTTCTAGTCACATCTTATATTTGTTAGTCTATCTTGACGACATTATCGTCACTAGATCTTATACATCATAGGTTCGGAATTTCATCACCACTTTTGCTCAAGGCTTCTCTATCAAAAACCTTAGTGCCTTATCATATTTTCTTAGCATAGAAGCTTGTTCAACTCGTTAGGGTCTCTTCCTCTCTTAACATAAATACATATATAACTTCATCATCAAAATAAACATGCATACTATCACCCACGAAGGCTGAATATTAAGCAATGACTCGCTTTAGTTGTTGAATTGATTTGGGTTTAATTGCTTCTATCGGAGCTTTGGGTTCCCATTACCGGTCCCTCTATGATTTACTATGACAACTTCAATGCTACTTATATCTATGTCAATCCAATCTTTCACGGCTTGTATGAAACATGTTATAATATATTTTTCTTTATTCGTGACCAAATTACCATTAAATAGTTACGTATCTTTCGCATTCACATCAATGACCAACTAGCCAACTCATTAATTAAGGTACATTCACATCGACAATGTCAAAGTCGACGTTCTAAGATAGGCATCCTTGATGGATGTTTTATCTTATGAGGGCATAATTGAAATAAATCATAATATCTCAATAATACGGACATAACTCAAAGGATTTAATTTAGTTAAATCATATAAGTTAATGATTATATAGCTAAAATATTTCCATAATTGTTATTCTCCATATATATATATATATATAACAATTAACACATTCAAGAATATTCATTCTATTTTATTCTTTACTTTTTTTCCTTTGTATTTTATCTAAATAAGAGAACCAAAACATAATGTTTGAAGGTTAAAAGTTAAATAGGTTCATCTAAGACTTCAATTTCAAGTACTCGTAGTAAAAAAATAAAATGTTTAAGCTAAATTAATCTATTTTATATGTTGCGCTACAATAAATGATACATCCACCAACTATAAGCATATAAGTAGATTTACAAAATCAAAATATTTACTTTTATGTAAATTATGAAGACTATGTTTGAGTTAATATTCTCTTTGTATTAAACAATAAACTCTCCTCTCTTTTTCTAGATATTTATCATAATGTGTATGTTAGGCTATTCTATATATAAGGTTTGAAATAGAACATCAAGATGCTATTTTATAAAAAAATTCATATAAATCACCAAATTAAAACGATCGCTACTATCTAAATATAATTTCAAATCAACAATAAAAAAAAATTATACATTCATATATCTTTATTTTAAAACACAATGCATTATGGTTTCGTATGATCATGAATAACAAGGACCAATTGTTAGGATTTATTATGATTAGAAATATGAAAAGCATATGATGATATTGTAAATCAATAAAAAAAGAAAAAGAATAATTTTTCATACTTTTGTATATCTATATTTTAAAACATGATAGGCAAATAGTTCGCGTCTTCCACATTCACACCAATGACCAACTAGTCGACTCATTAACTAAGGCACATTCACATCGACAATTGCAAAGTCATCGTTCTAAGATAGGTATCCTTGATGAATGCTCTACCTTGCGAGGGCATAATTAAAATAAATCACATGATCTTAATAATGCGGACATAACTCAAGGGATTTAATTTAGTCAAAGCATGTAATATAATTATTGTATAGCTAAAATATTTCCATACCTATTATTCTCCCTATATATATATCCATGAAACAATTTAAAACATTCAAGAATATTCATTCTATTTTATTCTACACCTTTTTTCCTTCGTACTTTATCTAAAAAAGAAAACCAAAACGTGATGTTTGAAGGTTAAAAATTAAATATATTCATCTAAGACTTCAATTTCAAGTTCATTAGTAAAAAAACAAACATTTAAGTTGAATTAATTTATTTTCTATGTTGCGCCACAGCAAATGAAACATCCACCAACAACAAACATAATCGGATTCACTAAATCAAAATATTTACTTTTATGTAAATTATGAAGACTATGTTTGAGTTAATATTCTCTTTTTATTAAACAATAGACCCTCCTCTTTTTTAGATATTCGTCATTTTGTTTGTATTAGGCTATTCTATATATATTTTAAATGATGAAGAGATGAAGACCCCTCTCTTCTCTAGGTATTTATCATTTTGTGTGTGTTAGGCTATTCTATATATATACATATATATAAGGTTTGAAACAGAACATCAAGATAAGGACTAATTATTGGGATTTAGTATGATTAGTAATATGAAAAGCATTTGATGATATCGTAAATCAACAATTAAAAAAAAAGAATAATTTTTTATACTTTTGTATATCTATATTTTAAAACACAATACATAGTGGTACCTTATCAGCAAGAACAATAAGGGCTAGTTAGGTATTGAGATTTAGTATGATTGCAAATATGAAAAGCATCTAATGAGTTTATATAACCTTAAATAATAAAATGACTCTTTTCTAACTAATGTAATTAAGGAGTTTGCTATTTGATGATAATGATGATGGTTGGAATACTTGCAAAATAAGTCTTTTTAATTGGATAAGGGATTCTCCAATGACTAAGCTAGTGTATGTAGAAAAATGATGACCCAAAAAAACAGCAGTGCAAGCATGAAATAGATGATGAATAATGGTAATATTAAGAGAGAATAATTCTTTAGAAGAAGAAGATGAAGATCCCTTTATCCTAGGTATTATGGTTGTTTAAATAGTCATGAGATTTGTCAAGTTGCATGGTTAAAAGAGTAGAATTACCCATCCTTTTGTTACCAATAACTTATGATTCTGATTAGGAGATTATGTTCTAATGGATCAGTGCTAAACATGATGATATCACATTTGTTGTCAATTAGACAAAAATGATTTTGAGGGCGTGCTTTTATTTAAAATGAGCATACTTTTTTATCGCTTTAGTTGGTAGAAAGTAGAACTATTGGCTGACGAACTATTAATAATCAAATATGATGATATTATATTTGTTGTCAATCAGACAAAAATGATATTTGAGGCGTGCTTTCATTTAAAATAAGTACACTTTCTGTCTCTTTGGTTGGTGCCGGGCTAAGAATAATCTTAATTGCTCGTTTAAATGTCGTCTGCATGGGCTGTCTATCCAGCTTTTTTCCACATGCAATAATATGAATGTTGGAATTCTCTCGTGTGTCATCTTTGAACGGGGCATAGAGACCACAAGTATTCCGAGTATATCAGCATGGACTCGGTTACATTTCAACTCAATCGGTAATTCCAATGGCACTACTATACGAAGAAGACTAAATGCCATTGCCAGCGTCAGCATTTACCCAAAAGAAAGTCTACATCTAGGGAGCAACATAAGCGGAAGCCAGGAAGATGTTAGGAAAAAGTTGCAGGGTAAGCGAGAAGAAGGGATTTGTAATGAACAAAATGAGATAAGGTTTTGTGTGGTGATTAGTTTTTCTGGTTAGTCAGGCCATCATTATGGAATTGGCTAACACCTCACATAAAGTGTTGAATTCGCATGAAAATCGTTGTTGAATGCTGCAGTAATAAGATAGGCTGCGTTATTTGAGCATTGGGTAGTCAGTACGTTGTTCCCACTTCATAGTAGCAGCATTTAAAAATTACAAACAAGTCTCAATATGGTTGAAATGCATTAGGTATCCTGTCAATGAAGATAACATATATAGCGTGCAGCTACCCAAGATTGTTAGCCAATTACTCTTCCTAAAGGAAACTGATCTTCTTACGGTTAAACCTGTGTGTGTGGTAGCAACGCAACTCACCTCTCATAGATCAAACGTGTGGGTTTGAATTGATAGTGAAGTTGCCAAAAGATGCGTTGGAAAAATGGAAATCACACATCATAATCGTTTCAAAGATCCATCCGACACCAAACGACGATGAAAACTAGATAAATGTTTCATCAATTGCTTTTTATCCTTTGAATCCTCAAGCGAATCAACTTTTTGTTTTCATTTTGGGTATAACATAACTTGGCATGAATATGATGTACAGACTGGAAGGATGCATTCCAAAAACTTCAAAAATAGAAAAGAAAACCTGAGCAACTAACACCCTTTTCTGAAACTGAATTTAATGACAGACATTGCAAAACACCCTTGGCTCAAATAGATGGAATACCACATGCCTAGACAGATCCTGCCACACACACCCACATCCCCTTTCCTTGGAAAATTTCAGTGCACCACTTTGTATAAGTAAACAGGGTTTCTATATTAAATGAATAAAATACACAAAATTAGATTCATCTACAAAGAGTAGATCTTTTACCATTTCAGGATGATGGCAAATATTGTTTCTCCAAACCATGATTTATGATACATGATTCGAGGCTATAATTACATTTTAAAAGAAATCAACATGATGCATTACTTGGGGTACAAGTTTGGCAGCCCTCTGAATCTCTTCGCACAGTTGAAGATAAACTGTGGTAAGCAATGGAAATTAACAAGCACATCTATCCTAGATGATCCCTGTGGAAATGCTGGAAGTTGCATTTATCTTCAGAGAGTGTTCAGGAATATAGGTTAGACCTGCATAGAAAAAAGTAGTTGCCCACAAGAAGTTTAGCTCTTGATAGAAGCAGAACCAGCCAGCATGTAGGTTATAGCAACGCACAGATTGAACTCTCTCTCTCTCCCCAAGTGAAATAACCAAATACGTAACTACTGCAGTCAACTCCAATAGAGAACATAAGCAACATATGATAACCAAGTCTATTCCATTACGATGCCAAATCTTTTATTTGAAAGCTAAGTCAGGAGAATAACAGACAAGGCCAGTAAAAATCTGTGACCTTCAGGATCAACACTGATAAATATGCATATGCTAATGCATTTATTCATGAACCAACCATGGATAATCATCTTCAATACTCACAACATTCAACGACATTACAAGATGGCACTAGCTTTCATGTTTTATCTAAAGAGGCTGTGAGAGTTGACAAGTAATACAAAAGAAAATTTCAGCATTTGAGAACAACAGGATATATATTTCACAGAAGAGTTGTAATATAGCCACCACTTAGAGCATGTAGTTTAAATACAGAGAAATTTTGACTTTCTCAGAAAAATATCAGAAGACAGATTCTTGCAAGAGATATCCCACAATGCCTACTATTGAGGAAGGGGATGGCAGTATGCATCAATATTGCTCAACTTTCTTTTGAAAAAAAAAAATTGAGTAAATGGGAATTCATTATAACAAGTGAATGGTTCAGCTTTTACGGGAGATAATGGCAGCATTCGTCAAAATTGGTTAACCTTTCTCTTCTTTTTTTTTTTTTTAAAGAAAGATATTGAGTGAATGAGAATTCATTATACTTAAAGAAAGGGTTTGCCTTTTGACAGCAAAAAAAAAAAAAAGAAAAGAGAACAAACCTATTTTATATAATCCAAAATTTTATGAAATCCATGATAGGAGCAAGTAGATGATACCTTTCTCCTTAACATCTATCTGTAAAGTGTCCAGGGAAATTATCCCATCAGTCAAGGGAAGTAGCTCAAGCTTGATGGTAGCCGTAGATTGAGCAGGAACACATCTGTATAATCACCTAAGCTATTAAAATCTGTCCAGAGTCCAAAAAAGAAATGAGCTTAAGAGGGAGATGCATTACCCTAATGGAACTCTACTCTGCAGCCACAGATGAGTACAACCCAAGCCTGTACTCGAAATAGCATCAGATATGGGAGAAGACTGTTCGATAATTTCTGATGTGGTAGTCACAGACGTCAGTGCCTGCACTGCAGAGCCATATTTCTCACCAGTTATTATACCTGTAGACTCAGACAAACCAACAAATGAGCTCACTGGTGTTGTGGGTGAAGAACTCAAGGACCCCACTGATGGAGGTGAAGTAAATGAGGCAGGAGCCAGAACCGTCAGAGTTAGATCTTCAGATGTCAAATTTGAAGCCTGTAATGCTAAAACCTGGGAATTTGACAACAGCTTCAGAAGAGGGGGAAAGAAACATATTCAATAAAGTAACAAAAACACAGAACAAGAACAACCTGAACTGGAAGCTGAGAGACTCTCTCATTGGGTCCAGAAGATTGTCCTGACATTTCAGATGCAACAGAGATCAAGAGATCCCTTGAGTTACGCGGTCGCCAACTAGTTGGCTGCTTAAAAAACAGCCTTGACTCTACATTCAACACAAAGCATGAAACAAAAGATTGGTGAAAGTCAATAAAACAATACTTAAAATATTTTAGATGATGAAGCAAACCACAAAAATAATGGATACCAGTATAGTTACAGTGACAAGATACAATAATTGCATACTGATCAGCATTCAACGCAGTCCTGCCTTCCACGGTATTTTGTACAAGATGCAGACTTGATGATGGGGATAGTCTTTCTCTGTGAAACTTGGAATCCTTCACAAAAGATGTTGGTTTGAGAATGAATGAGTGCTCCTCACCTCTCCTGCCATGGAAAAATCTTCAATAAGCTCATGATAAAAATGAAACATGTGAATCAAGATTGTTTCCCCTAATGAAGTGTTATGAGATACCAGTCTTTATGGTTAATAATTTTTTCAGTGATCGGTATATGCATTTACAATTCAAAATTTACAAAAAGAATTCTATGGTTATGATCCAGAATAATAGTAAAAATAGGTCATTTCTACGAATTCAAAGAAGTGCAATAAAGAAGCTTTATTCATAATTTTACTTGATGATTCCATATATGCTATTGCAATCAATCTCTTTTATGCCTTTTCTCTGTTCTACATAAAACCTGAATGTTAAGAGCATGCTCTTATGGATTTTTCTTCTCAATGTATATCAGAAAAAGGCATTGGGAGGGTTTTGTAGCTGATGATTCTCAGGCTGCTTGTAGACTACTAGCTCACATCAAAATCATAATTCAGACGCATTGTCACACATCAGTCCAACAATTTCAAAACAAATACTAATTAAACCATAAAATGCTACCAAGAGATAGAAGTAAGCTTTGCCTACTCCAATATGGTTGAACTAAAAGAGTGCAAATGAACAGGCAAACTGGATGAAAAAGCAAAAGTAAAATAAATTTATTCTTCATGCATATAGAAAAGGACTTTTCCCAAAGTAAAACGAGATCGTACGCCAGTGTTGACCTTACCCTGACTGGTTGGGATTTGTCCAATCAAATAACATACTACTCAAGAACATTTAAAAATGTTGTGCAAACAACCTCCACCAAGAGTAACTGAACTGAATTGAACATGGCAAATGCAGTTCAACCAACAAATAAGAGAACATTAAGATACCTAGTATGAACAACAACCTGAGGGCTAGATTTGGCAAACTGTGGTCATTTCCAGCTTCAATACATGCAATTGGTAATGATGAAGGAAGTCCGCTCTTCGAAGCTTCCTCGAAAACAATAGTTATAGTATCTATGTATACCACAATATCTGGTGTGTGTGCTGGAGAAATGTTCTGCAAAATAGCTTTTAAATTTATTAGCATGGTGGGATTTGGAGGTTAATCCCAACAAGCAACCAAATATATAAACACAGTACAAAGGCGGCATGGTAACAGTCTTGATGCACACCTTTATCTGAACACAAAGAAGGTCATCTGTATTGCAGTCAGCAGCAAAAGAATGGATTTCTACAGGTTGAATAATTTCAAGTTTCCTCGACCATCTTCTTCCTGGAATGTAGATGCCTTCCAGCCCACAGCGAACAGAAAACCTCTCTCTCTCTAATGACACACCTCGGAAAGATAAAAGTTCTTCACCCCCAGGTTTTTGACTTTTCCATAACTTCTGAGATGAGTACTGATCCCAATCTTCAAGGTCAAAGTTGGGCTTGGAGCTTTGAGCTTTAACAGGTTGCGGAGGTGGAGCAGAATTTTGAGGCAGCGATGACATTGAGTAACTTCTAAAATGAGAGAAGAGCTGAGAACCAGAAGAGGAAGACTTCTGTGATGCACCACCCAATCCTGAATTGGAACTCAACTGAGGAGGAGATAAAGAGCGAGCGGGAGAAGATAAGGTGTTATCCACAGGAAGCAACCATTTTAATAGTTCTCCACATGGGTCATAATTACTGTAATTTAAGTTGTCCTGGTTCTCAGGAAATCGATTTCTCTCCTGATGTTTCTCAAATTGAAGAATCTCAATGATTGGGTCTGTGAAAAAATTAACACCAACATTAACTTGTAAAAGCACCTGCATCCTTCCAAACAAACAAAAGGAATGTGAATCAGTACCTTAACAACTGTTAAACATGGTCTAGATAAGAACTATAGCATCATAATCCCATATTGTATTTAAGATAGCAACCAAGGTGATGCACCAAACATATTTGACCAATCACATCGCCTCACAAACATGTTGTCAACCGATATCATTTCACATGATTTTACGAACAAGTAAAGATGTCTACATCAAATTAGACTGCAGACCAAGAAAAAGTGTATTTGCATGTAAAATAACAAAAGCATAATGACTATTAGGCTAAAGGTACTGTTTTAATAACTTTTTGCCAAACATTAGCAAATAAACTGCACCACTGGAAATATTCTGTTAATTCTCCACATAAACCAGACAAAAATTTAGTTAACGAAGCCATGACTTAAGCTAATGGGGAACCATGCAAAATCTTCACAACTATAGACTACAGAAAATTTATGCATCCAATACCATAAATAGAGTAGATTAATGATATTTAAAGTAATACTTTTGGAAAAAATAAATTGCATTGCCCAATGCAAGGTGTGACCATTTTCTATCCAGCTAAGAGAAAACAAAACATAATTAGGTCAGTCCAAACTGTAGAAATGAGAGCTACAAATTCGATAGGATATTTATAAATCATCTAGTTAGAAGCCACCAAAAGACCATTTATTATTTATTACTGCAAATACACCATATCAAAGCAGAATTCTGAAACATAAGATACAACTCTATTGCTAAATTGGCGTGTTGTCTATATGTGATAGCAACTTGCAAAGTGTTGACATAATTATAAGCACCTGGAAAGGAAGTAAGAGCACAAAAGTCAAGTCTGCAGTCAGTTTTTCACAAGTGTATCAGATGGGGAAAATAAAATCATCAACCTAGAGGTTCTTGGATCCATACCACTATATCTCCATTAGAAAGAGAGCAACAGCTAACACCATTTCTCGCCGCACCACCAGAGACACTGGCATCAAAATTTCCTCTATCAATAAGAGCACTAAGCTGGAATGTGTTGTCTGCCGGTTTCTTGGTTCTTTGTGGTTTGTTTTGACTATCCATCTCAGAGTATTCTGGATCAATCACGGTTTTTCTTGACCAAAGAGGTTCGCCCGACTCTGCAATCCTAACAAAAAAATGAGAGTTCTTAAATCTTTGCAATAACATTTCAGTTTGCCTTTTGTAATCCTCCATTCTGAGAAAGGATTCACTAGCAGAAATATCCCTATGTGGATCAGTCTTCTGTTTTGATGCACCATTGCCATGAAGGCCTATTACTTGACTATCAGAACTCACTTCCCCTTGTCCAGATACCAAACTATCTCCATCTTTCAGATTTCCATTTTGTTTCTCAGGGCTTTGCCCTATTCCATTTTTTGACATCACTGCAGCAACTTTAAATGGAGTAATAATTTCTGTATCCTGCTTGTATGCTGATAAACATGCCAGAATATGAACTTGTTCACCTAAAATAGAAATGGATATGAGGTGTATATCATGGACATAGAACATCCCAAATGGATAATAACCAACACATGTTAAAATTGGAAGATTCAACAGATTAAGAAATATATAGTACCAGGAAAAACAAATGACCTATCCAGGGAGCGTAATGAATGTATATCTGGTGCATTCTTCCAGTCATCAGGAAGTTCCCCTGCCAAAACATATCAAGCATCAAATATGGTAGAAGAAAACATATTAAAGTTATTTAACTACATGGAGAAATCATGTCAGTAAATAAAAAATAAACATCAAGAAAAAACTTGGAACCAAAAAAAGGGCAAACCTCAAATATTACCCCTCCCCCCACCACCACCAAAAAAAAAAAATTTTGGAATTCTCAATTGGGTCCTTCTTATAGAATTCCTTAATAGAAATCATTAAGTTCCCCACAAAATGAAGTCGTTTCATACAAAAAAAAAAAAAAAAAAAAAGGAGAAAAGCACAATTTAGATGGGATCCATGATCAAGTATGGATGGAAAGACTTAATTGAGAATTTCTAAAACTTGGGGGACAAAATTAATACAAAGATCTGTTTGGAGCTAAGGTTTAGATGCAGGTTAGAAGCCCACACAAGGTGCTGTCACTTAATTCATGTGTCAGGTGATAAAATAGTAGAGAGGCACAAAATGACTTATTCTAACTGCCTGGTGGCCTGGGAAGTATGGCACAAACTCTTTATCAGTGATAAGCTGTGGGCAACACTGCAAAACTGAGGAAATGTTAAGTTTACACTTAACGGATTTTGGAAGGGGGAAGGATTCTAAAATTTTGTGGAAATTTATGATGTTTGCAATTGTTTGCATCAGCCAATTAGAGGGCAATTTGAGAATCTCCAAGGATCAAGCTTGATAAGAGCAACTGCTATGAGTATTAGGATATAATATATTATTTGACCTCATGGAGGTTTGGCAGGGCAATTTCAAGGAGTTTCATTGACCATGTTCAAAGGGACTAGAAAGTAGCGTTTTGATATTTTGTTTCATTATTTTCATTACTGAGGGAGAATGGTTCATTCTCCTTGTCATGCTCATTCCCTCTCAAATTTGTTTGGTGTCTCGGAGTTGTAATCTTCCTATTGATGATAGACAAATACATTCTTCTTATATCATATATGCATGTGTTATACATCGAACAAACATGTCTGATAAATTCTAATTCTGGGAAGAAAAATGCTATTAACATCTGTTTAAGCATTCTCTTAACAGATACATCATTCACTTTGTTTTCATACAAGAAGAGGTCCCAAGGGGTGGGTTGGATCAGGGTTAACTGATATAACCTTCCTGATGGTGATTCCAACCTGAACCAACCAAAAACACTCCACCCAGATACCAGCCAAACCTGATAAGCATCTTACAGTATTGATTTTTTTTTTATAAAGAATCTATAATTTATTTATTTTTAATCAGTGAATAATTCTTACATTACCTTCCTATTTGAATTAAAAAAAAAAAGATGCACACGTATATTAGGGCATGAAGCTTCACAACTGTATTAGAATCGATGACATTGATGCATGGGCAAGTCAGATGATAAACCAAACAAAAAGTGCAATTAATGAATTCATAGAAAATGTGTATAGATGTATATTTGAGAATCAATCTAGCACAGTACTTTTCTCCATGAAACAAATTCTGTGGAAAAGAAGAATATCCTCTGAAATTTTCCAAATTCAGTCTCCTTAACAAAAGCTAGATGTTTCGCTCTTAATTAGCTGTACAACATCCCATGCAAAAAGAGCCATGCATCCAAGAAAAAATGTCTTAATTTTACCCATCTAATAATAGTTTTGAGGAGTTCCCTTCCACAATCAACAGAAAAGCCCTGACTAGGTATTAAATGAAACTCCAAAAATAATAAAAAATAAATAAAAATAATAGTTGAAACTTAAAATAGCAGCAAAAAGTAGTTCTCATTTCCTAAAGTATGCTAGGACGACACACATTCAGATTAGATTAACTAAACAAGCAAGTAAGCTTGCTGGACAAATAAAGAACTCACAACCTTAAAGATTAAACAAAACAATCAATAAGATACACTAAAACAAACCCCGACACTAGCCGGAGGTTGTTGATGGAAACTTAGAAGCCCTAAATAACAAATAGCATACCCATCATCATCTCCTTTGACAAAGAACACTACATAATGTTTATTCGTAGAACTTTGAAGTGAACTTCGCATTATGGAACGAAATTTGGACCTCAAATCTCCTTATTTGCAATCCATTCGATAATAGAATCAGCAATAGATTTTTGTGGGAACACTACCAGAGAAAGAACCTTGACATTTGGGGCAATTTTTCTTTTCGGACCAATGCAGAAACAGATCATATCAGAAATAGAATTGCAACTTAGCACATTATCAGGTTCCACCGATATAAATTAGAGTAAGCAACACAACTAAACACTAGATCTCTGATAACAGATGAAATGAACAAGAGGCCAGTAAGATGGCATCATTCATTTTCTAAAGAATCAGAAGCTCCAAGTCATCAAAACCTAAAAATAAGCAATGATAGAAAAGTGAATGGGTATACCAAATGGGATAGTAATCCACCCTTCTTCTTCAGAAACATCGGAGTGGTTCTCCAATACAAGTGATGACGATTCATTCTTTATAGCAGCAATAGAGCCATTTTCACCGCTAATACCCATATCACGATCTTCAGATTGGGGGAATGTATCTTCAGCGATAAGACCCTCCAAAGTCATAGCTGCAGCAGGAGATTCGTGAACAGAAGCCTGTTCTTTCACTACTTGGTGAGTGGTAGGACGCAGCAGAAAATTCATTTTCCTCTGCAATCGCAAACAATATTTAGGAAGATACTGATTGCTTTGGAATTGGATTGAAAGAAAGAATACGAAGAAAGACAAGTAGAGATATCAACATTGTTTGGTTAATTAATTATTACCTGATCGGTCGCAGCCGCAGATGGATCGAACCACTTGGTTGTCGCGAACTGCACTTACTAGCTTTTGCTTCACCTCTAACGGTTTGCTTGCGATATCAACTGCGACGGTTTCAATGGTTTCTGATCTCGTCTTCAAGAGTTGTTGAAGATGGATCTAACAATGAGAATGATTTGATTTCGCTTTTTATTTCTTTATTTCTATCTTTCCTTTCATTCATCAAAAGGATTTGATAGTTATAATCTCCACAGAAGAAAAATATTGAATAATTAAGGGGAAAAAAATGTAATAAGTATAGAGAATTAAATCAATATGATGTAAAGAAAAAATGTAATTAATAATTAAGAAAAAAATATTGAAAAAATGTTACTTTGTTCCAAGATATAATTAAATGAATTTAATATATAATTTTTAGAATTTTTTACTATAATCTAAATTCGTTAATTTATTTATTAAATAAATCAAATATTAGATCTATCTTATAATAATCGGATATGAAATTATTATTAATATTATTTTAAAAAATATAATAGTTAAAAAAATAAAAATAAAAAATCTAACATTATATTAAGATTTAGGATTCACTATTTTATGACATGCGCTGCACTGAAGATTGGACAGAGCAAATAAAAATATTTGAAGAAAAAATAGCATTCATTTATTAAGGAAGATAACGAAAAGCATTTTAATGTACATAACATATGAAAATGTAATTACATGTATAGAAAATCTTTTGTAAAAGTTATATAGTCATTTTCTCCAACACATTAAAATTCTATTTTAAAGTCATTCAAGTTTGTTTTAAGTCGGTGAAAGTAACCATTATTGCTATAATAAAACTAAAAACTATGAATTATTTGTTATTAGATATAAATAGAGTTAATTGTTATTCGAAGTGTAGAGGTAGTACAAGTATTTTTATGGAATTAGAATAAGATTTTCAAACTCAAATTACTATTTAAAATTTAAAACTAACAAATATGAGTTATTTGTTGCTATATATGTAAATATAGTTAATTTTAATTTGATATAAGGTTGCAGCAAAACTTTTATCGGACGAAACTAAGATTTTCAAACTCAAATTACCACTAAAAAATTAATACATTCATCATCCAGTAAACATTAAAATTGAGAAGGAAAAAAAAAAGCTATTTGATTTGTTCTCTTCCATTCAATCCTTTAATATTTGCATATGACAAAATGAAAATACAAATTAAACATGAACTTGCAATTCCATGTTATTTTTGGAACTCATGTTGATTTTCTGCGATGAAAGAAAATGAAAACAATGATGTCATTTGATTTATATTGCAAAGACTTCGATTCCAAATATTTGAAACAAATGATTGTTGATTTTTTATCTTTTTGAAAATGAAATATAAAAACAAACAAACTTTTTTTTCTTCTAAATTTGGTTATGAGAAACACAAAAACAAGCTATACAAAATTCATAAAGATCAAACAAAAATCATGGAAATAAAAAAATTAAGAGATCAATATAAACACATGCTGCTAGTTAATTCAATTAAAATCATTCAAAAACAAATTAGTCACTAATCATTTAAATAAGTAAAATTTAGTCTAACCACTTTAGCAAACACTAAATGCCAACAATACAAGTAAATATGGTCATTGCTTTCATTTAAGAACTTCCTTTTCAGCTTGATCACCTTAATGGTGTAGTTGGTTCTTATTTATAGAAACTTGAAAACTAACTTAAAAACACTCATGATTTTCTAATTCAAAACTACCAATACCATAATCAATTATTAATTTTAGGCAACTCACGAATCCATAATAATGATTAGCAATTAAAAATAATTGATGCCTTAAAATAATTTTTGAATAGAGTTTGGAGGTACTTTGTTAACAACCAAAAGCATCTCTAACTTTAAATGTTGCTCATGAAGACAAAAAATACAATACATGATTCAAAAGACCATTGCAACAATGAGATGGCTTAAATAATAGGAACAAGTAAACAACCTAGATGGATTCCTACTTACAATTTCCTTCGATATGTCAAACCAAATCTGATTCATATTATCTCTTTTTTGCAAAAGCTTGATTAAGGATTTTCCTCAATCTATGTTTTTAACACAAAAATTGTTAAAAATAAGTTAGATTCCACACAAAGATAAGAGCACTCAATTTCAACCCCTTATTGACAAAAGGACCAAAAAAAAAAAAAAAAAGAGAGAGAGATCTTACTAATTAATAGAAAAACATTGGCATTGTCATACATAACACATTGAAGAAAGAATGCTTTGTGTGAACGAAAACTTTAACAAATAACAAAAATGTTACCAACTAAAAGGACTCGTAAAGAAGTACCAAACTCTATAGAGCGAAAACACATAAAAATAAAAGCACATTAGTAGTTTACGAAATTCCAATATTGAATGAAGTTCACTCTTATCATGAGTTTTTTTTTCCCCTTTGCATTAAAGGACTAGGAGTGAAGAGTAAAGAAAAAAATTAACAAAGAAAAGACCTTATATTTTTTTTATTGAAAAAATTGAACGAGAAAAAAAGCATAGCATAGAAAAGAAAACGAGTGAGGGAAAAAACGGTTAACGTGGAGAAAAAATAATAATAATTTTTTTCTTTGTGAGTTCTCTTGGTTCAAAATAAAGAGCTTGAAAAAAGAAAATCATTTTCGCCCTCTCTATTCCATTTCCTCAACTTTCTCATAAACCAAACACATAGAAAGTCATGCAAGAACAAATGAAAGTGAAAGAGCTTAAAATAATGGCCCAAAAATACCTATGAAATTTCAAATTTTTTTCCTTTAGTTTCACTTCTTTGCTTCGTCAAACACAATAATAATCCAAAAAAAAAAAAAATCAAAAATTCCGAACACAAAACAAACAAAAAATGCATTGACCATAAGCTTAGAGAGTGAGAGAAGGACATGTGAAGTAAGAAATAAAAAAAAAATTCCTTTCCATTTTTATCCCTCTATTTAATACCAAAAAAAAAAAATGCATTACCATTTCAAAAAAACTCCAATCAACTTAGCACTAAATCTTGCAGTTGAGAGGTATTTGATAGTCCGAATACAATTTTTGTTGTAAGCAATTAAACAAACGATACACCAAAGAAAAGTAAAGCTTCGATTATTGTTCAATAAATTAAATAAACTATAAAAAATCACCCGAAGCTCGCGTTCTTAATCGATAACATAATCGTTGTTAGAACCATATAATCCGATAGTTATAAACACATCATTTCCATTTTTTATGTGACTGACTTTTTAGTCCGGAGAAACTAACATGTTCACTATAAGTATCCTAGTCTTCCTAACTTAATGAATGACCATCTATTTAGAAGAATCAATGATCATATCTTTTTTGTAATTATATTAGAGTGTTTGTGCTTTAAAACTCAACCTTATATTTACTAATACATGAATTAACAACTAATCAACTATTAATTTTAGCGAATTCATAAATCCATAATAATGCTTAACGAGTTAAAAATAACTTATGCTTCAAATATTTCTCAAATAAACTCTATAGGTAGTTTGTTAACAACCAAAAGCATTTCTAATTTTAAATGTTGTTAATCAACATAAAAAATACAATCCATGATTCAAAAGACCATTGCAATAATGAAATGGCTTAAACAATAGGAGTCGGTAAACAACCTAGATGCAATCCTACTTATGATTTCTTTTTAAGATGTCAAACTAAAAAAAAAAATGCCCGAACCTATTTCAAAAACTTCAAGCAATCTAGCACTAAATAGTTCAAGTTGAGAGGTATTTAATAGTTTAAATACAATTTTTATTGTAAGCAATTAAAAAAACGATACACCAAATAAAATTAAAGCTTTGATTCTTGTTTAATAAATTTAAAAAATTATAGAAAATCACCCGAAGCTCGCATTCTCAATTGATAACATAATCGGTGTTAGGACCATATAATCCGACATATATAGACACCTCATTTCCATTTTCGATATGACGAACTTTTCGACTTAAAGAAACTAACATGTTCATAGTCGGTATCCTAATCTTCCTAACTTAATGAGCGACCATCTATTTAGAAGAATCAATGATCATATCTTTTTTGTAATTATATTAGAGTGTTTATGCTTTAAAACTCAATCTTATATTTACTAATACATGAATTAATAACTAATCAATTATTAATTTTAGCAAATTCACAAATCCATAATAATGATTAGTAGTTAAAAATAACTTATTCCTTAAAATATTTCTCGAATAGACTTTAGAGGTATTTTGTTAACAACCAAAAGCATTTCTAACTTTAAATGTTGCTAATCAACAAAAAAAAATAAAAAAATACAACATATGATTCAAAAGACCATTGCAACAATGAAATTGCTTAAACAATAGGAGCTAGTAAACAACCTAGATGGGATCCTACTTATGATTTCTTTTTGTGATGTCAAACCAAATCCGATTCCTATTATCTCTCCTTGGAAAAAGGTTGATAAAGGATTTTCATCCGCATTTCTTTAACAATTGCCTAAACTTATGCTTTTAACATAAAAATTGCCAAAAGGAAGATAGACCCCAAAAAAAGACAAGAGTACTATAGAAGAATAAAATAAATATTCAACTCTGCCTTTAAGAAATTAAAAAAAAAAAAAGAAGAGAAGATCTCACTAATTAAAATAGAAAAACATAGGCATTATCATACACAACAATCCGAAGGAAGAATGCATTACGAGAATGAAAACATGAACAAAGAATAAAAATGCTACTAACTAAAGGGGCTCGTGAAGGAGTAGTAAACTTCGTAGAGCAAAAACTCATACAAATAAAAGTACAACAATAGTTTATAGAAATTCCAACATTGAGTGAAGTTTACTCTTATTATGACATTCAATTTTTGGTGTGAAATTAAAGGACCGGGAGTGAAGAGTAAAAGGAATATATATATATATAAGGAAAAGGCCTTGTATTTATTTATTGAAAAAATTGTAAAAAAAAAAATTACGGGCATAGAAAAGAAAAAAGGCTAAGAAAAAAATGGTTAAAATAGAGCAAAACAATAATAATGTTTTTTCTTTATGAGTTTTTTGTGCTCAAAACCACATGGCATGAAAAAGAAAAAATTTGTTTCCGCACTTTTGATTCCATTTCGTAGCTTTATCATAGCCCAAACACATAGAAAGTCATGCAAAAACAAATAAAAGTGAGAGAGGTTAACAATAATGGCGTAAAAATACTTGAGAAATTGCCAAATTTTGCCTCTAGTTTCATTTCCCTCCTTTTATCAAACACAAAAAGAAAAAAAAAAAAACAAATCAAAACCTCGTAACACAAAACAAACCAAAAATGTATTTACCATAAACTTAAAGAGTGATAGATGCATAGATGAAGCAAGAAATAAAAAGAATTTTTAAACAAATAAGAAAATGGCCTTCTATTTTATTCCTCTATTTTAAAAAATTATAGAAGACGAAAAATGCTATAGAAAAAATGCATTTACTAGTTCCAAATACCGTAAGCAACTTGGCACCAAATCCTATAGTTGTGAGGTTTTTGATAGCCTAAATACAATTTTTATTGTAAGCAACTACAAAAAATGATACAAAAAATAAAAAAAATAAATAAAGCACTCACTCTTGGTCAATAAATTAAACAAATTATAGAAAATTTTTAGAAGCTCATGTTCTCGATTGATAATATAATTAGTGTTAGGACCATATAATTTGACGAGTTGTAGACACCTCATTTCAATTTTCTTCATTTACAAATACCTTTAAGACTCGCATAAATTTTCAATTAGGTCTAGAAATAGATAAGCTTTTACTATAAAAAGGCGATAAAATGAGCAAATATGAATAATAATAATAATAATATTAATACTCACAAAGATTTGTTATGCCACCATAAACGGTCTCCAAAGAAAAGCAAGAGTTGCCAAGTCTTTACCATTTGTTGAACAAATTGGATACAATGGGTTTTGTATATAATAATTGAAATATGAAAATTAGGATACAAAGGTAAAGAGACTATTAAAATGAGGATGCAATTAATTAATTGTTATATAATGTGTGGTATAGAACAATCTTGTTTGTTAACAATTAATCATGTTACTCGTTGCATAAAGATAAATAGAATTTCAATAAACGAACATGGAGTTCCTTTATTAAAAATGCAATTGGTATAGATTAAGAAGTTTAAAGAAAATATATAAAGAAACACATAAATGTGAAAGAAGAGATAAAGAACACACTCGTCAATTTCCTATTTTGTTAGCCCCAAACAATATTTTAGGGTGGATTAGTGTCACACACCCTTTTTTGGCCAATTTTCTAACAAATTAGCCACTTTTATGTGTCTTAGATCGAAAGAATTTCTTTTAGAGTGACCAAATCAAAGCTAAAAATTTTAAACTAACGAGTAACCAAAACATTAATTATATACGTAATAGAAATGTTGCTCAATGAAGGGACTCGTGAAGAAGTATTAAACTTCGTAGAGCAAAAATACGTACAAATAAAAACATAGTAATAGTTTATAGAAATTCTAATATTGTATGAAGTTCACTATTATTATAACATTTCATTTTTTTTTATGGAATTAAAAGACTAGGAGTGAAAAGTGAAAGCAAAACAAAACAAAATGCCTTATGTTTTTTGGTTGAAAAAAATGTAAAAAGAAAATACGTAACATAGCAAATACAAAGGCCTAAAAAAATGGTTAAAATACGGGACAATAATTTTTTGTCTTTGTTAGTTATACTGGCTCAAACCAAGAGCATGAAGAAGAAAAAAATTGTTCCCGCCCTTCCTATTCCATTTCCACAAGTTTCTCATAAACCAAACACATAGAGAGTCATGGAAGAACAAATAAAAGTGAGAAAGGTTAAAAATAACAACCTAAAAAAGCTGATAAATTCCAAATTTTTGCCTCTAGTTTCACTTTTCTCGCTCTTGTCAAGCACAAAAATAACCCTAAAAAATCAAAATCTTAGAACACAAAAAAAAAAAAAAAGCATTAAACTTTTTTTTTTTTTTTTTTTTAGAGTGAGAGATGCACAAATGAACTAAGAAATGAAAGAAAAATGCAAAAAAGCAAAAAAAAAAAAAAAAAGGCCTTATATTTTGTTCCTCTATTTAATACCAAAAAAATCTATAGAAGAAGAAAAATACCATAAAAAAATGCATTTACCATTTCCAAAAACTCGAGCAACCCGATACCAAATCCCGCAACCGAGAGGTGTTTAATAGTCCGAATACATTTTTTGTTGTAAGCAATCATAAAAAAATAATATGCCAAAGAAAAATGAAGCTTTGAATCTTGTTTAATAAATTAAAAAAAATTATAGAAAATCACTTGAAGCTCACATTCTCAATTGATAAAATAATTGGTGTTAGGATCATATAACGTGATAGTTCTAGATACCTTATTCAATTTTCTTCATTTATATATACCTTTACCACTACATAAATTCTCAATTAGGTTTGGAAATAGATAAAAAAATTTTCCACAAAAGACAATAAAAACAGCAAATATGAAAGAAAATAATAATAATAATACTCATAGAGATTTGTTATGTCACTAGAAACGAGTGTCCACAAAGAAGCAAGAATCGTTATGTTTTAACCATTTCTTGAACAAATCTTTATGAAATAAACATGGATAGGGTCGATTTTGCTTTGAATAATTAAAAGAAAATATTGGAATAAAGATGTAATTAATTACTTATTATATAATGCGTGGTGTAGCACAATCTTGCTTGTTAACAATTAATCATGTGATCGATGCATGTGGTGAATAAAATTTGAGCAAACAAGTTTAGAGTTCCTTTATTATAAAAACGCTTGATATAGATTAAGAAGTTCAAAGGTCGAACATAAAGAAACCATAAAAGCGAAAGCATGATGGGAATGATTTTAACATCAAATATTATTAGTTTAGATAACTAAAGATAAAGAACACATTGTTGATTGCTTATTTTATTAGACCTAAAAAATATTTTGGGATGGATAAATGTCGGATACTTTTAATTGGTCAATTGTTTGACAAGCCGACCGCTTTTATGGCTTTTAGACTATTGAATTTGTTTTAGAGCAACCAAATTAAAGCTAAAAAATTTAAATTGACAAGTAACCAAAACATTAATTATATACCAAAAGGTACATGACAACATACTTCAAAAAAATACATCATACTTATTGTTAGTCATTATGTTACTAAGCATTGTTACCAATTACATTGCCATGTGCCTTTTGAAGGGTATACCTTGTACGATTATTTAGGATGTTTTTTCTGCATAGTCTCCTAACAATCATTATTCTCATCTCTATCTTCTTGTGATCAAACTAAAGATAAGAAAATAATGTTGTGAACTTAAGTTAGTCGCTCTCTTGATATTAAAGTAATTCAAAGCATAAAAAAATCCAAGTAACCAACCTTTTTATTCCACTCGGTTTCAACTATAATCATGATGCTCTTCACTTTCATTTCTTTCATACCCTTCATTCACGACCTATGTAATTAATGAGTACAGAAACATCAAACTAAATAAATAAAAGGCAGATTAATAGCATAATACTTTCTTGTAACGTCACTCGTAGTTTTCATAGCTAGAATTCTTTTACTATCACCATAAGAATTGATTTATATGGACAAGACAAGTTAGCCTATGATTGATCTTTCCATAAAGATATATTATGCCCTTTGCTTTTCAATCATCAATTAAATTCAATGTCCTCCATCATTTAAAATAAAATCCAAGTAAAGAAAAAAAAAACTACCTTTTAGGGTTGCCTTGAAAGTTTAGAACCCTCGATCTGCTTTTTTAATTTATTCTTCTTTCACTCTAGCAATAGTAAAGAAAAAACTAATAAAAAATCCAACAATATCAAACAAATAAACATTACAATTGTTTAACTTCAAATTTCAAAAAAGAAAAAAAAATAGAAGAAAAATGTTTGATCCCCACTGATTTGTTCAATTATAATATTGTCTACGATTACTACTCTAACGATTATCACTCGTTATGTTGCTTCTCACTCGATATGACCCATGTGTTTTAGCAAAAAACATTAATAAAAAAAAATATTACAACAAAGTTAAGGACTAAAAAAGATAGCTTGATTATGAAGATCTAGACAGTTCATTATGGGATTTATCATTTTTTTTTATCGAGCTAGTCGAGCACCACGTCTATGAAAACCTTCGTCGGACCATCAATTGTCTCGGCTTTTTTCCTTTTGACTTGAAGAGTGATAGAAAGAGAGACTTAAAGAGATGCATAGGACACTACAATGAAAAAAGTATTAACTCGACTAATTATAACTACCAATCAAATAGAAAACCAACAATTTGCATTCTTTTAGGTAAGATAATAAGTTAACTGTAAAGTATACTACAAAAACCATAGTTCATAAAGAAATGAATAAAATAAAATATGGCATCCCAACTAAAAGATTTAGCAATAAACAATTTACTTGATTTTCTCATCCGGACGCAATTGCGTAAGCATATCAAGATAAAAGAATTTATCATTGCCCTTTTATGCTACAAAATAGCAACCGTCACAACAACACACCTTAATATAAAACCTAAAAATTTAAAAATAAGTAAATAAAAACTATAATTACTTGATATAAAGTGTATTATCTTGATCCAAAATGACTAAATCAAGAAGAGAGTGTGCATATAGCGTCCTAGTTTACATATAATAAGATCGTAATGGGAGAAGGGGTAAGAAAAAATGAGAAGAATGATTTTGTTGTTTGAATATTTGAGAGAGAGTGAATGCTTCAAGAGTTAATGAAGCATAAAATAGTCGTTGGGTTCTATGCGATCTTTGATTACAACCACTTTGCCATAGAGACACCATTGGTCAATCCGGTGGTCAAGGCTTAGGGCTTCATGTAAAAGCTTTAGAGCTCTATTAGATGGTTTTCGACTACAAGAAAGACAGAAATAGGCGATTGATAACTATTCAAAAGAACTATAACAATAAATGATTTTGGTTTGGATAAAGAAAAAAATACAATATTTGCTCAACTTCACTTGTTTTATAAACGTCCCATTAACCTTCCTCACCGGGAACAAATAACCTATTTGAATTCTCAAAACAACATAAACCTAAAATAAGAAAAACCCAATCAAAATAGTTGAAATCAAATTTCAAGGTGACTCATTTAATTAAACATCCAAATTAGGATCAAAAGCAACCCAATCAAAATGGTTGATCACTCAAATCATAAACCTATAATAATTTGGTCTTCACTAAAGAAGTAGAGGAACAACAAGAGAAAGAGCATAAAAGCAAAAAATCAAGAGAAAAATTAGAGATCCAATGAGAGATAAAGTTTTACAAGAACATATGGTTATTGAATAACTTGCTTTAGAATAATGAAAGTTGGGCGAGGCAACTCTAGTTAGTAGAGAATGAGTCATTAGATGAAGGATCTAGATCCGAAAAGCTTAGGCTTGAAGCAACGAGAGAGAGAAGGAAGAGGTGAGTTTTAGGGAAATTGAGAAACGATGTCTCATGTAGAGATGGAGATGGTCGCGCGAGCGGTGATGGTGGGTTATATTCTGAACAATGATTTTGGCTTTGGAAGATGTTATTTTAAAGTTTATGGTAATGGTTGTGTAATTTTTTTTTGACTTGTAAAAGTTAATAACATTTATTTAGGTATATTTTTACTTTAAAATAAAAGAATAGCGTCATCGGGAGTCTGTTTGTGGTTGGTTCATATTTTTTCTCTAAGTTATATTTCTCGTAATGGAAGATCTTGTTATACTTTGTACGATTATAATAGCGAGTTAGTCATAAAAATGCATTTTATATATATATATATATATATATATATATATATATATATATATATGTATGTATGTGTATGTGTGTGTGTATATGTATCTCTATCTATATATGTATATGTATGTGTATATGTATATGTGTATGTATTCAAAGAGTCCGTAGGTGTAGGTTTTTTAATAAGTTATAAAAATTTAAATATCTTATTAAGCAATTGTATTCAAGAAATGTAGAAGAGATTACGGATAGTCAATGCCACTAATTCTCAATTGGTCATCGATCGAAAAAAATCCTAAGTCCAATCTAATTTGGCAAGTTGCGAGTAATAAAATATTTTTTTATCCAAGCATCTAATTTTTCTTCGAGGTATACACATTTTTTGAAGTGCTTTAAGTGTGGCTTATGCAATATAGTTTTCAATTTGAATTTTTTTTAGTAGAAATGATATGCATATTTTTTTTCTTTGGCTATTAACATGACTAAAATTTGCATTTTAAATCACTAAGTTTGTCATATTTCTATTTTTTAAATACAAACAAAAGAGTTGTGGAAGTTGGTGAGAACATTTCTTGTATGTTAACCAACAAAATTTTTTAAGTTTTCTCTTTCATGAACGTGGATAAAGAAGTTTGGCAAGGTTTATAGTGATATTGAATACTATCTAACATCATTTGTTTAATGTGATGGTTCATCTTTTATTTATTTAATGGGGAAAATTTGTCTAAAGTAAGGATCAATTGTAGCTAGCATCTATTATATTTTTTTATACATAGTGTTGGTCGTAGGGTAAGAAAAAATTTAAAATTTTTTTGCACATGCTAGATAATTGGTACCTATTAGATGGACATAGTAACTTATTAGTTGTCGTCAATCGAGCAACATAATTTTTTTTCTTGAATAAGAGAAAAAAATAATAGGTTTGCAAGGGAGTGGCTTAAAGGCAAGGTTACATGAACAATATAGATGTTCTTTATTTGATTCATTGTTGAGTTGGAAAAGCATTGTATTAATATCTATACAACACGATTGAATCCTTAAGTTCATCCGACAAAATTAAATTTTTATGATATTAACATTTGTATAACACTTATTTTTATTTATGACAAGTAATATACATAGTCAAAAGGATTTTTTTTTTTTTTATATTCGAAATACCTTTGATCTATACATGATATTTGAAAGTTGTTTCTTTGTATTTAATGTAACGATGAAGGTGATGCTACAACTCGGTGGTTCTTTATTTTCTATATCAAAGATATGTGTTGTAAGGTGATAGGTCGGGAAGGATTTATAGAAGGGATTATCGTAAATGTGAAAAATGTTTAGGTCTGCTAAGTGCATCCAACATGAGTTGTGAAACCGAGTATTTGTCATTGTAATAGCATTAGATGACCGGGTAGTTGGATGAGTAACCGAAATATTCAAAAGCTAGTTTTTTAAGTAGCGAACCGTAATTGTGGCATTGTTGTCTATAATCGTGCATACAACATGACAACTATAGAAATAATTAGGAAATAACTTATCATAAGATATATGGTGTATCTATGTTGAAAATATCTAAATATCATTAAGATGATATCTTTTTTAACTTGAGAACTCGGATTTTCTTTTTTAACCTATAGAAATAATATTCATTAGTTGTGTATGAATAATCATCTCTTGATTGTGTATTTTGTTTGTGACAACATGGACATACCTAGAATGACTAGCCATGATTTCCATCTATATCGATTATTTCTCCCTCAAATGTATAGTAAATACTTTGTAAAAGAAAGACTCGTTAATATACATGCCAATGATGTGAGGGAACAAAAGAAGAAGAAACTTATTTTTCTAGTAAAAAGTGAAATAAAACAAAATGAAAAATAATGCTTATGTATGTTGATATTGTGTAATGCAATTTATGTAATCTAACCTTTGTTGTTTGTATTGGAGGTTGGAGTAAGTGTTGTATTGTTGTCGTATTTTCATGTTGGACAAATAGTATATGTAGAACAAAATATTTTGTGACATACGTAATAGATAGAAATGCGAAGATACATTTATGACCATATGAATACGATAAAAAAAATGAAGGAGAGCTTTTATTACAAGTGATTGTCAAAATAGATGCAAAGAAGTGTGATAAGCTTATGACATATGTTCATTGAAGATTTGTAGAGATGGCAATGTAGGTTATACAAAGACCGATGGACCAAATATATATGTGCATAGGAGCATGCATTTGTTGAAAGGTTTTTTGACGAGTGTTATTCATTGGGTAAATCCGCAAAAATGCTTTGGTGAAAACGTTAAGTCTTTTTCAATTAAAGATTGCTTTAATTCGATGGCAACTGAAAATATTTTTGTTTTTATTTGGTCATTTAATATGTGATACATAAAGACATATTAAATGTTTAGGTGACTTCGTGAAGACATATCTAGTAAGAGATAGTTGTATAGCACGAGTCAACATTTTTTTGTCCATGATTTAGTTAAAAATTAATAATTATTTATTCTAGTGAGTAATATTTTTATGAGGTTGATTGTTTTTTGTGTTTAATTTTACATGGTCGGTTTGTTATTAGTGTGAAAAAGGAAAAAATGTTTGTAGTCCATATAATAAATTTCTTTTAATTAGATGTTGTTGGCATAATTTTCAGCTCGTTTGCTTAGGGGTGATCTCTTAATATATTTGTTCACAAAAGATGAGTGAAAATATATTTAAGTTTTCTAGCGAGCAAATGAGGAATATGGAAAATATTTCGCTAGCCTTTTGTTTCTAATTCGAACAAAAGAGGTATAAAGTGAATGGGTTTAATGTTGAAATCACGAGTTGCATACAAGGCTTTCCGTGGACAATTTGTCCACGGAATCCCGACTTGCATGCAAGCTAGATCACGACTTGCAAAATGCAAGTCGTGACTAGCCTTGCACCGCCTAAATTGAGGGGGTGCAAGCAAGGGGAGAGGTCTATAAATAGGCCTCTCCACCTTAGTTTGACATCCCACATTCATCTCAAAGAAGAGGAGAAAAAATATAGAGAGTGTTTTTTTTTCTATTTCAATAGAGAAATTTAATTGTTTTCTCCTTATAGTATAGAGAGAGGGTGTAACTCCTATTATTTTTCATAGTGAAATTCTTCTATCTTGTCCGTGGTTTTTTCCCTTAATTTGTTTAAGGGTTTCCACGTAAAAATCTGTGTGTTCAACTTCATCTTTATTTCTCATTTTTATTAGTCGCGACCCCGCTCTATTCGGTCAAGAAATCAACAAGTGGTATCGAGCTCCGGGTTGTAGATCCTGCAGAGTTCGTGATAGAAGCAATGGCGGCAAAGTTTGAAATCGAAAAATTCAACGGGAGCAATTTCTCATTGTGGAAGTTGAAGATAAAGGCTATCTTGAGAAAAGATAATTGCCTAGCGGCTATCGATGAAAGGCCGAGAGAGTACACGAGATGACAATAAGTGGAATGAGATGGATGGAAATGCTATTGCAAATCTTCATCTAGCATTAGCGGATGGAGTGTTGTCAAGCATAGAGGAGAAGAAGACAACGAAAGGAGATCCGGGATCATCTCACTAAGTCTGTATGAGGCCAAGTCACTCCATAACAAAATTTTTCTTAAGAGGAAACTCTATACTCTTCGTATGGCGGAATCTACTTCGGTGACAGAACATGTCAATACTTTGAATACTTTATTTTCTCAACTCACATCATTGGGTTATAAAATAGATCAAAGTGAACGTGCTTGAACTTCTACTTCAAAGTCTACCAAATTCGTATGATCAACTCATCATCAACTTAACAAATAATATCCTTACGGATTCTCTAGTCTTCGATGATGTTGCGAGCTCGCTGTTCGGAAGAAGAAAATCGATGCAAGAACAAGGCAGACAGGCGGATGACTTCTTAACAAGCGAAGCCTTGACGGTGATGAGAGGGAGATCAACGGATCGTGGCTCGAGTGGGAGCTATAATCATGGTAGGTCAAAATCAAGAAGTAAGAAGAGTTTTAAATGCTACAACTGTGGCAAGAGAAAGGTCACCTAAAGAAGGATTGTCGAGTTTGAAAAATTTCAATCCTTAAGGAAATGTGGCAAGCACTTCGGATGATGGAAACGCTCCGTGTTGTGAAGCGATAATGTCACATAGTGATAGAAAAAGATTTGTCGATGTGTGGCTATTCGACTCGGGAGCTACATTTCACATGACCTCTAGGAAGGAATGGTTCTATCATTATGAACCTATCTCGGGAGGATCCGTGTACGAGTTGCAATGATCATGCTCTAAAGATCATTGGCATTTGAACCATCAAGTCGAACATGTATGATGGTACAATTCGTACTATTCAACAAGTGCGGTATGTGGAGGGCTCGAAGAAGAACTTGTTGTCTATAGGACAACTAGATGATCTTGGATACAAGATCGATAGCGAGAAGGGAATCCCGAAGATAATCAAAGGAGCGCTTGTACTTATGAAGAGAGAAAAGATAACCGTAAACTTATACATGCTCGAAGGGAGAGACTTTACAAGAAGCGAAGCATCGGTTGCTTTAAACGATTCGAGTGAAAGATCCGCAATAATGTGGCATCATAAACTTGGGCATATGTCCGAACAAGGAATGAAAATCCTTGCCGAGCAAAAGTTACTTCCGGGACTCACAAAAGTATATTTACCCTTTTATGAGCATTGTGTTATCAGCAAGCGACATCGATTGAAGTTTAGCACATCAAATTCTAGAAGCAAGACTATTCTAGAAATTGGTTTACTCGATGTGTGGCAAGCACCGGTTCCATCCCTAGGAGAAGCGAAGTACTTTGTGTCCTTTATTGATGATTATTCTAGGAGATGCTCGGGTGTATCCTATCAAGAGGAAGGGAGATGTGTTTTCGGTCTTCAAAGTTTACAAAGCGCGGGTTGAACTTGAGTCCGGAAAGAAGATCAAGTGTTTGAGGACGGATAATGGAGGAGAATACATTGGTGATGAATTTGATACATTCGCAAACAAGAAGGTATCAAAAGACAATTCACGGTTGCATACACTCCTCAACAAAATGGAGTGGCGGAGCGGATAAATAGAACCTTGTTAGAAAGAACAAGAGCTATGCCGAGGACTCGAGAGCTTAGGAAAGGCGTTCGGGCGAAGCGATCAATACCGCTCGTTATATTGTGAATCGATCGCCATCAACCGTAATTGAGTTGAAGACACCAATGGAGATGTGGACTGATAAGCCAATTGATTATTCAAATTTCCATATATTTGGAAGTCCCGTGTACGTGATGTACAATGCCCAAGAAATCACAAAGCTAGATCTAAAATCCGGGAAATACTTATTCTTGGGGTATGCTGATGGAGTCGAGGGGTATCGTCCGTGGGATCCCACTGCCCACAAGGTTATTGTCGACGGGGAGGTTATCTTTGTAGAAACAGATCTACAAAGGAAAGAACAAGGTAATAGCACTTCGAAACTATAAAGGTACAGGTGGAAAAAGATCCCGAACAAAAGGATCCTTCGAAGCGAGCACCAGAGCATGAGGGAGAGGAACTAGTTGAGTCCGAAGTTTCGTAACCTCGACGGACCGATCGCACAAGAAGGCGACTCGATTGGCATTCGGACTATATTATGGAGAGCAATGTTGCATACCGTCTTTTAACGGAGGAAGGAGAGCCATCAACTCTCCAAGAAGCAATGAACAACTCGGATGCATCTCTGTGGATGGCGAGCAATACGGAAGAAATTGAAGCTCTTCACAAGAACAAGACTTGGGAACTTATGACATTACCACAAGGAAGAAAGCCCATTGGTAATAAATGGGTTTACAAGATCAAACGAAATACCGATGATCGAGTGGAGCGATATCGTGTAAGGTTGGTGGCGAAAGGTTATGCTCGGAAAGAAGGGATTGACTTTAATGGGATATTTTCTCATGTGGTTCGACCGACAACGATCCGAGTAGTCCCGGCAATGTGTGCTATGTTTGACTTACATCTAGAGCAGTTAGATGTGAAAATGGCTTTTCTTCATGGAGATCTTGAAGAAGAGATTTATATGCTCCGACCGGAAGGTTTTGAAGAAATAGAAAAAGAGAACTTGGTTTGTAGTTGACCAAATCTCTCGTACGATCTAAAACGAGCACCGAGGTGTTGGTACGAGAGATTTGATTCATTCATCATGAGCTTTGGATACAACGGACTTAATGCGGACCCTTGTGCATATTTCAAGAGGTTTGGTGAAAGTAATTTTATTATCTTGTTGTTGTATGTCGACGACATGTTGGTAGCGAGCCCCAACAAAGATCATGTCAAAGAATTGAAGGCACGATTGGCTAGGGAATTTGAAATGAAGGACTTAGGACCAACGAAACAAGATTCTAGGGATGCAAATTCACAGAGACGAAATAATAAGAAGATTTGGCTTTCTCAAAATACTTATTTGAAGAAGGTCTTGCGACGTTTCAACATGCAAGATTGTAAGCCAATTTCTACCCCACTTCCTATTAATTTCAAGTTATCCTCCGAGTATGAGTCCTAGCGAGTGAAGAAGAGAGGATGGTGATGTCTCGAGTACCGTATGCATCGGCGAGTGGGAAGTTTAATGTTCGCTATGATTTGTACAAGGCCGGACATTGCGCATGCGATGGGAGTGGTTAGTCGATACATGACGAATCCCGGTAGAGAGCATTGGAATGCGATAAAGAGGATCCCGAGATACATTCGGGGAACCTCGGATGTTGCATTATGTTATGGAGGATCGGAATTTATCGTCGGCGGTTATGTTGATTCCGATTATACGGGTGATATGGATAAAAGCAAATCAACTACAGGTTATGTGTTTACACTTACCGGTGGAGCTCGTAAGTTGGGTTTCTAAACTACGATCAATTGTGGCTATGTCAACAACGAAGCGAGAATATGTAAGCGACTACACAAGCCGATAAAGAGGCAATCTGGTTGAAAATGGTATTGGAGGAACTCGGGCACAAACAAG